CTCAGAGTGAACAATGGCCAGGATGAAGTGGAGGGGATGAGGATTCTGGATTGGCGACAGCACGGTTGGATGGGTTAATGGCTTTTTCCCCATGGGATGGTGACTTTTAATTGATTCCAATGTGGACAAGTCTGGCCATGCTAGATTTCACCACGTCTAGCTTGTTACCCTGCTTATCGTTATATTCAAATTAGCGAAAGGAAAAAGGAGGAAAAACGCGGAATGTGCAACCCCACGAAAAACATTCCCAAAAAAAAAAACCAGTGTAATAAAAGAGTCCGAAAAATACGTAAACATTTTTCGTTCATTTAATTTTACGATATGCAAAGCATTCATAAAAAGCGCAACGGCAAACTACGCCGGCAAATATTGTAATAAAAAGACGAGTGCCCACCAAGCACCAAAACAACAAAATGTGTTCCAACTTCCGTTTCCGCCACTCCGCCATCGCCATCGCCATCGGCATCGCCCAGCTGCCTCCCCAAGGATTTACAGTGGGCGTTAAAGTCGAGATTATTAAGCTAACGAAATTTCAATTTATTGATTAATTTTATAGAAAAGTATAGTTATTAATTATTATTTACATAATTTACTTTAGCTTTCCTATAAAAAATGTAATAACTTACTTTTTAATAAGTGAACAAGAAAAAACTGCCTTGAAAACGATTTAAAAATATTTTTAAAATATTTTTACTTCGGTTTTTGATGTTTAAATAAACTTTTTGATTAAAAGAAATCTATCTTAAGCTTATACCGCCTTTTAAGCTATCTTTCTGAAATATATTTTTACTGATTTTTAAGTTTATATTTTAAAAAGAAATTTTTTTTAACCCACCGTTGAGCGGCTAAGTGGGTGACCAAGCCGGTATTTTTATACACATACCCGTTAAAATTTAGCGCACACACGTAGCATAACCCCTCTTACACACACACACACTCTCATGTATGTATATATATATACAAACATATATGGTCTATATAGAACGCAGTCATAATCGTAAACAAGTGACGGCGACCGCGACATTTTATAGCTAGACCCGTGTACTTGCCGAGTGGTTAATGTTAATGGCCGGCGGAAGGTCCGGCGGTTGTATGGCCATTGGGTGTTCGGTTCGCTACGGTTTGGCTAAGGTTTTTTGGTGGACAGAAGAGATGGGGAGACGGGCAGACGGACAGCTCAGCGGGTACTATGGCATAAATTAAAGCGCCGTTAAGCATAAGCTCGCCCAATTACCAAAGTATCCTTGGCCATTATATTTACGGATTTATTATTGTGTTGACTGCCATTCAGCGAAACTGCACCCACCGCCCAATGTCCAATAAAAGAGTAGAGTGGGTGGCGTGCATGCATGCAGGGATGTCTTATCAGCTCTTTGTCATTTGTCATGTTAATTTAATGATTTTTCCCCACTGACTGTTCGTCCTTTATCATCCACCATGGGATTATTATACCTTGACAGGGCTAACAGGGGTGCTCTTAATAGCATTTCTACACTTTTCTGTATATAAAAATAAAGATTTTACTTTATATATTTTATACCTTTATATGATATTATTACTTTAAGTTCCAAGATAAACATAAAAACATTGAATTTCTGAAAGTAACTTAGAAGTTTCTTGAAAGAATTTTCATTTCATGGCGTTTTTTTTGCCAAATTCTATTTAAATAAACCCATTTAAATAATATATTAGTTTATAAAACTTAAATATTAACAACAACGCATCACTGTTGGCAGTTAAAGGGTATACTATGTATATAATTTATTCTCTATGTGCGTGACATTGCGCCCGTAAACAAATACATGTAATCGCCAGGGTTGTCAGCTCGTCTGATGTTTAAGTTAACCTAACATGCAAGCTTTGGTTTAAGCTGAGACTAAGGATTTCAGTTAAGTGGAAGTTTAAAGTATAGATAAATCTATATATGCTATAGCTGCCTTCCAATTTGAAATTAAAAAATCAATAGGCGAGACTTTTATTGTTTTTTTTTCGAAAGCCAGGAAAAGCGTAAGAAAAAGCATGTTACTAATTTAGATTCCAGATGCCTGGCTGCCAACGTACGTATCATTCTGGCATCGTAATTCTGGCCCAAACCGAACGTAGGAAAGTCTGCTGGTTCGGTGTGTTCGTTTAATTAATGCGAAATCTAATTGAAAAACTGATACTCGGGCTGCTGACTGCCACATTTGTGCGTGTACGCGTTCGAGTATCTACAGTGTTAATTGAAATTTAATCTAGCCAACACGAACGGAGACGAAGACGGTACTGATGTGATGTGATGAGAATGAGAATGGCAATCGCATTGGCAATGGGACTGGGAATGGGAATGGGAATGCACTTGAAGAAATTACTAACCTAATGGGAAGGCCAAAACTTTGAATGCCATTTCTGAATTCTAAACATTTCAAGGATATGATTAAAGAGTCTTAGGAGATTTCAATATATATCTGAAAGGAAACATTTTAAGTAAAAATGTAGAACTAGATTCGATTTCTCTCTGTGTAAAAATGGGAATGCGAACAGGCAGCAGCAGCACGGGATGTATTTATCGGCAGCGTCAACGGCGGCACAGATTAGAAACATTTTGTGCGACTAAATAGCCTGAGTATCTCATGGATACGGATGCAGAGAGTGGCAGCTTTCCCTTCTCTCTCTCTCTTTCGGATTTTTCCCAGCCCATTGTGGAGAACTTTTCTTCATTCTGCTGCCTGCTGATGGCCTGGTCTGGTCTGGTCTCGACTGGCCAGGTACCAGTTGTATTTGCTGGGCAATTGGCGATTGGCGTTTCATGTTGTTGTCGCCATCGAAGTCCTGGTTGTCTATCTATTGCACTGTAAGAAAAAATAGTATTCAAATGTTATAATATTAATTTAGGTAAAAATTTGATCATTAGGTATTAAGATGTAAGCTTATGTCGAGCTTATGTTAAAAACTTCACCATTTTTAGTTTTACTTATTATAAGTAAGAAAATCTATAACCCATTAATTTTCCCAACTGCACTCCCATAGACCCAATCCCAATCTTGGTCGACGTCTCTGTCGCCGTCGTCGGCTTTTCTTTAATTTATTTTGTCTCCTCATGCAACTCCAAGCTGCAATCGAAGCCAACTCAAGCTCCCAGTCGAAGGCTAACAATGTCGGCTTGTTGCATTTCTTTAATTTATTTGAGTTGCGATTCATTTGCTGCACTTTGAGCGCTTTCGCATGTCTGGCTGGGCTGTTTTTTGTGACCGAAGCTGCCTTATTGGGTTGCACTTTTAGTGGTGGCACACAATCGATCAGCAGTGTTCGTTCTGCAGAATGTTGAATCGATTCATTTACCCCTGACCACTCTGACCGATTTATGCAAACTCACTCTGGCCACCAATTAAAAGTTTTTTGGGAAAATGAAACCCATTGTTGGGGAAGTTTTGAGTAGAAAAATGGGAAAGTTGGTAAAATATTATGGCTTAGAAAAAAATACGTTAAATATTATGAAAAATCTAACCAAAATCAAATCGAATGAATTAATATATTGAAGGTTTTCTAGAGTTTGAAAGAATAAGTTCTACATTTCTGTATCTTCACATTGTTCACCCATTTAACCTACCAACTCTTGATGAAAACCAAAACCCAACTCTTGACATTGTCCTTCCATGTTTCCCAAAAGCCATATCCAAAGTCTATCCCCATCTTCCGCATGGCCAAAAACTAAATCAATCGAAGGATTATATAACTTGCAACGAAAACTTAAACTACTCCGTTGAAATTGCTGCTTACGTGACCAAGCGAATGCAGTGTCTACGGCAAATAAAAAAAGAAAAAACAAAACAACAACAAAATCAGATATCCCCGCCACAGCACACCTTGGTTTTCCTACCCCTTTACCTGCAATTTTCCGCCGTCAAACTGCCACGAACTGTTGAGCAGTCGAATCTTATTTGATTATAACGCTGAACGCCGAGTTCGCTGGCCGTTCATGAACTACAAAAGCCGCTGGCTGCGTTTCGTTCGCCGTTGCCCTGCACTGCGAGAAATTGTTCTTAATACTAAATTGTGATTTTGTTACAGGCCTATAACTTGTTAAGTACTTGTAAAATTATATGGTTATTTTTAAGTTGAGAAGAGAACTTATGAGCTCTTTCTTAGTTTTCTTTTCCCATGAGCAGTAGTAGAAACCACTATCTAAACTGATATAAATAAACCCCTTTAACACTGACCCCTCTATTTTTCCCTGTGTATCATGGCCTCGATGCGGTTGTTGGCTCTTGCTACCGCACTCACACTTTAGCACTCGCGTCAAAGTATCTTTCGGATGCAAAGGCGAAACGCACTGCGCCGAAAACGTGTGCGTTTTGCATTGCATCAGAAGTGGTCTCTGGAGAATAGTCGACTTGGTAATGCTCTAAGCTGAATAATTGGTAAATAAATGACATTAATTTCAATAATATCCAGTTAACCAAAACATTCAACAAAGCGAACTTTAAAAGCTTAGAGAATATATTTCTTAAAAGTTAAGGAAAACTTTTTCCTAACCAAATACTACTGGATTTTTCCTTAATTTTTGAGCACTATTAATTTGACTTAATGTTCATAATTATAAATTTCTGTTTTTAAAACATCAATTTGATTCTGTAAAGAATTAGACCCCAGCTAGCTACTTGAAGTCAGCGACATCGTTCGACGGCCTAGAAGTTTTTGCTCGCCAAACAGAAAAAATTGTTTAAAAATGCCATAAAAAAGGCAAACACAAAACATGCTTTACAGCAATGCAATTTGGTGCCTGTTTGCTTTGCATTTTTTCTTCTAGTTTCTGTTTTGATAAATGGGTGCAGTACTTTTATTTATGCATCTTGAGTCTCTCTCACGCTAAAATAATTATCTGCATTGCATTTCAGCGAGACGCATAATTCTAAATTTGCAGGCTAGTCTGCGGAAAAAAAGATTCACGACTCGTAACATATGTTCGGATTGGTGCTGATTGGATTTTTTAATTAACACATTAAATATATGTTAAGTAATAACCTAAAAGATATGAAACGTTTTTTATTTAGTTTTTATATTAACCAGATAAAATTACAGCCAAGTGGGGGCATAAAACAAAAACAAGTAGCCAGGTAGGTTTGATATGAAAACCAAACCATATTACTTTTAAGAATTTGATTCTCTTTACAGTAACAGCAGTCGCAGGCTTTTGCAACCTGAGTCTTGTATATTTTCCATGGCTTTCTCGATTATCTGGGACTGTTCTTTTCTGCTGAAAACTCGCGGATTCTTCTTCAGCTCACTATCCAGGCAATCCTTTAAATCATCCTCATTGAAGAATCGAAAGTTAACGATGGTGGTCTCAGCTGGTAGTTCCTGCAGCAATTCAAACTGCTCCCAATAGACTTCCGATTCCAGATTGAAAATGTAGATAACCAAGATCGTTTGATTGCGGTTTGGCTCGCTTTCGCGGTCTATGATCAATCGATTGTAGATGGGCACTAGTCCATGATCGCAAGTCGATAGATTATCGATGATCAGCAGATTAGCCCCGCAGTCAGAAAGACCATTGGCAAACTGCCTTACCAATCGAAATTTTTCCACCTCATCGGGGACTTCGGTGCTCCAAAGGTAGGAGTGGACATTTCTCGGCCAGGGAAACCAACGGCGCAGGGCATTGGCAGATAGTGTTTTTCCTACTCCTGAGGGCCCCAGAAGAGCCACAGATCGAAAGTTGCCAGTACTGTCCAGGGCTCTTTCCATGCGGGCCAATGCCTGCTCTTGATTAAGGACTACTTTGCCGATATTTCGAAAGATCTTCTTCAAGTCCAGAGTCTGTGGATTGCAATAGCTGTTCTGGATAGGGTTGAATTCAATTTAAAGAGTTTAATTTAAGTAAAAAGAAGTCATCTGATACTTACTTTTTGTTCCATATATAGCTCCCCTCCCAGCTGATCATCTTCCTGATCCAAGCCCAACAATCTTAAGGCGCCCATCCAGAGGCCATTCCCGTGCTCTTTGGAGGAATCCATCTGATCGGTGGACATTTTCATTCCAAGCAAGACTATTAGAACAATGACCACAGCCACCGTGGCCAGAATGGAAAGTCCTTGAAGGAGTTGCGAGTGACGGCTAGAGCGAAGTCTTTCTCGATGACGCCGGCAGCTGGTGCTCCTCAAGATACCCCTTTCACGGGGATCATCCTCGTCCGAAAAATCACCTGAATGACCTGGATCTAGGTTCCGCTGAAGGAGAAACCGACGGCGGTATGAATGGCCATTGGGGTCAAAGTGCGGCATTACTGTTTCATGAAAGTTTTTCCTCTGTACTTATCACTCTTTTAATTTTCTGTTATTGTTGTCGAATGAGTTTTTGTCTGCAGCTTCTGAATTTGTTTACTGATTGTGTTGGAGTGTATATGCTAACAATTTGAATTTAGTTTTGTGCTTAGTTTTGATTGATAAGTCAAAGAATCTTAGAAAGATCTTTCAATATAAAATAGAAGATGTGGCATAGTCATGGCACCAAAAGACTCTTAAATTTGTTTTCCAGCCAAAACAAATGTAAGCCACCTCTATAATGACTTTAATATCTCCTATAAACCACCGCAGACACAAGAACAACTCATAAAAGGCGAATTCAAAAGGCAAACCACTGCCAGATTGAAAGCGCTTACTCATCATTATCGGACATTGGCAATCAGCTGATTTGGAGCAGCAGACACGATCATTACCATTACGCTGGCGATTAACCCCGCACCCAAAACCCCAACTACAGCCGGCAACTGGGCCATCACAGTTCGCTCGAAAGCAGCTGGAAGATCTAGCGATCATGGTTACCAAACCAAACCAAACCAAACTGAACGGAGCCAAAGTAAGCCAAGCAGACCGACTAGAGCAATCCAAGCCAAGATGAGGAGACAAGACAACCAAAGACAAGACAAAGATGGGGACAGACAGACAATCAGCCAGCCAGCCATCCAGCTAGCTATTTTGGTGCCTGGCAACAAACATGGCTCAAAACGTACGAGACACTTTAGTAAGTAGTCGTATACCGGCAATAGGCAAAAATTGAGGGAATCATTAAGGAAAATAGTGACTTTTGGTTACTCTTTTGGTGATATGTTTCTTAGTTTTACTTACATATATCTTTAATCTTTACTGCGGGCAGCTCAAATTCTTCTTACGGCAGAAATACTAACATAACTACAAGAATCCGTGCACATACATGTAGTGACGCTTTTGTGTTGGTCTGCAGCTGTACACTGAGAGAAAAAAAAACACTTGTTTGCCTAACTAATTTATCACTCATAACTCTCACATCGATGGTCGACAGCAAAATAAACTCTAAAGAGAAGGAAAAAAGAATGAATTTCAGTGTAAGTGTTGGAGGACAATCCAGGAGAAAAAACAAAGAACAGTTGGAGACGGAATTAGGTAGAAAGAGGACAACGAAAAATTGTTATTGCAAACCCACATGCAGCGAGCATTTACAAAAACAAATGAGCACTCGGCGCATAGGCGTTGATCAGCCCTCTTCTACAATATTGTTTTTTAAATAGGAGGAATATAATAGATTTCCCCTATCAGGTTAAACTATTTATGTAATTCAGCATCATTGACTTGCTAGTTTAAAGGGTATTCCAATATTCGGTGTTTGTCCAAATGTGCCTGACTAACATGTAAAAACTCAGTGCCGTAACGGTTTATGAAAATCAAGTTGGGCGACTTGCAAAAGTGTCTTCATAAATCAGTCAACGCTCTGGGTACGAGCGTCAGCTGTCAGCCGGAGATCACTTGGAGCTCTGAAGTTTTGGTGGTACGGTTCGCTTGGGTTCACCGGTAATTACTCCACAACTCCGCCCTCTCCCTACCCCTCTAACCCCACCCAACCCACTCATTCGATGCCCCCTCAATAGCAGTTTTTATTGCCATTATGCTCTCTACATGACATGACACGGGGGGAAAGCTTTCGGGCAGGGTGAGAGTTAGTTGTTGGCCTTAGAAACAGACTTTTACCGGAGATGAGTGATGCCTAAGAATTGGAGAATAGCTAGAATCAAATTCGAATATAAAACATTCATTATATATTTTAAACTTTAAAGTAGCCAAAATGCCATCTCTAAGGCCAGCAGATAAAGAGACATTCAGTTCGGGTTCGGGTCTTGCCATATGATTTTGACAGCCCAACTCCAAGTTGAAGTTGAGGCTGAAGATGGGCTTGGGCTTTGGCTTTGGCTTTAACATTGGTTTTGGCCTGGTCTGGTTCGTCAGTCAGTCAGCTGCTGAGTCAGCTGTTATAATTGTTGGCAAAGCGGAGAAGTTTTTGCCAGTGAAACGCTTGCCGGGCTGAGTAAACTTTTATGGAAAATTTCCAACCTCAATCGGCATTAGACAGCATTATATTGTGGTTAAGCCATAAATTAAGCAAGCTTCATACATTTTTTTCAGCGTTTATTTAAGATATTTAAAAAAAAAAAGTAGTTTAGTAAAATAGTTGTCAGACTTTCGTTTATAAAGGAGTAATAAATGTTTCCTATTGATGACTGTTTGGGGTTTCCATCACTTTTTAATGACATTTCCCAGCACCTTTCTCTTTGGTGTTTTCCTATACATATGTATGTAACTTCTTCTATTATCCAACAATTTTGATCTCTCTTTTGCAGAATCAGAAAACGTGACGCTAACAAACTTGTTCTTAACCAGCAAGTCATCAAAACTTTTCCATCCAAAGGGAGTTGGGTTTTGGGCAAATAAAGAGTGGATAAATAATTATAAAAATATAATAAAATCAACATAAGTTCCTCAGTTTTCAATTAAGAAGTACATCAAAAGTAGAACAACGGGGTTCTTATATTAGATTTATTTATGCCTTTTTATACCAAAAACTCAAATCAAGAACAGATTATTTGATTATTTCGGTAAGGGATAATCACCAGATCCGAGAACATTTTATTATTATGTATTTAATCATAGTTTTACCTCATATACATACACATCTAACATAAATACTTATTCAGAAAAGAGAGGCCAACATATCTGACAAGCATTTAACTTTATTTATGGCTTTAAACTACTAACTTTATTTACCTAACCAGCCATTTCTAAAGACTAGCAAAGCTCTATTTATGGGACATTTCGCTTTGAGATGCAGATCTGCGAACGGTTGGCTATTGTGCTGAGCCAAAAACAAGGCAAAGACTTGAAAAGTGCAGGCGAAGAGGCCAAAACTGGCCAAACTGGTTGTCGGAGGTTGTGTTTTTTTATTTTTTTTATTTTTATTTTTTGAGGCCCACTACTGGAGTTACACACACTCAATTCCACCCGTACACCCCAGCCACTCCCCTTGATTTTGTGTGTTTCTTTTTCTTATTTTTTTTAACGCCCGTCCGTTGCGTTGTTTACGTTTAGCTTGGTTTTCTTCATTCCACGCTTGTTTGTTTTGATTTAAAAATATAGAAGAGAAAAAAAAAAAGGTTGGGCTAGAAAAACTGGATGCCCTGTTTGGTTGTTCTTGGGCTTAAAGTATTTGGTTTATTGTTTTTGTTGGGCCTCCTCCTAGGTTCCCTGTCCTCCAGCCGTCCCTCTTTCGATCCGTACCCCGATCCCGATGTCTTTATCTGCTGCCATGGTTTATTATTTCAAGTAGTACCGCTGGACTTGTTTGTTCATTCCGCTCTTTGTCCCACAAAGCCCAGCGAATTCTCCTCGGTTCGCTGGGAAGAGACCCCGAGACTTGGCCACGGAGCTACTACAGTACTTCACAATCCCATGGAAAACAGAATCTGCTGTGTTTGCCTGCCTGCGTAATGAGTTTCCACAGAGAGAGAGCCCTTCAACGGCTAGCCTATTTGGAAACCCTTTTGCCTAATTGAAATTCATGGCAAGTTAATCCAACAGCCTGCAGAAAAGCAGAAAAAGCACCTACGACTGCTGTTCATTTTTGCTTTGCTAGTTTTTCGACCCGTTTTACTTTCTAAACTGGAGTTGGAGTGCAAAAATTTAAAAGTCTTAGAAAGGGTTTTTTTAAGCTAGAAATGGTAACCAAAGTTCTTCAATTTTTAATATATTTTTTGATGTATATAAAACACTTACGATAGGGCGGTAATGGGTACACTACACCCGTGTGAATCGAGTTTTAGTCTTCTTGTAATGCATATCACTAAATGGGGTACGAACAATGATCATCTATAACGATGCAGTCAAGTGCGTACCATATTGCCAGCGGAACCGAAAAATTGGGGTCTTTTTGGGGGAGTCTTTAATTATACTTAGGGGAGATTAGGTCCCTTTCCCCCCCTTCAAGCACTTGTTATTTTCGAGAATGTTTCGATAGGGAGAAAGCGGAGAATGGATAGCTAAAATCAAGTTGATGGCAATGAATAAAACATTTTTAATGTGTTCTCTATTACGAATGTTACACTGAGGAAATTGGTAGGGCAATTAAATGGTTAATAAATAAGCTAGTATCATGAGGAATACCATTAAATAAGAGCATTAGAAGTCATATGTAAATGTAAAAGAAATCAAATCAATTTTTAGAACTCGACTTTTCACTAATTGAGCGGAAACTATGAAGTTAAATCAAAGAGTTTCTTAAATATTGTTTAAATCTTTAAATTTTTCTTAGTGTTCAGGCAGATAAATGTCCTAAAACATTGCCGTCTAATTAAAGTCACAACGTTTAATATAATTCTTCATCTAGAGGCTCTACCCTATAAACAGAAGTTTCAACGGAATCAAATGCAAATGTGTTGCCAGCTGCCGCAGCCATTTCCACATCCCTCGGAAATAATTGTGCTCTATAAGTGAAAACATGTGGAAAACAGATCGAGAGCCAAAGATCAGCTGCTCCAGATGTAAATCGGAAAAACTATATCTCATCAAACCGAAGTTTTTATATCCTAAAAGACACCCGTTTAAATTCAATTTTTCTGCCTTTTCTGTTGGTGTAAAAAAAAAGGCAACTTTGAGTTCCTTAAAAGCAGAGATTCAGGGCAGAGATTCCTTTAAGATTCGTGTCCACTGGCACCGAACCATTTCGTTTTTCCAGCCTTGGTTTCTGTGTGAACTTATTAGCATAATGAGTAGAAATATTGCCCGAGCAGCACTCGCTTTTCTCTGGTTTATTTGACAACTTTTCCTAGCTCTTGGTTGACTGCCTTCGTTGGCCATTTGGCCTTATGTCCCTTTCATCTCCTTTGGTCATTATGTTAATAAGAGCGAAAGGAAAAATTCTGCTATGTCGCCGCTGGGCCAGATCTCTCTGGTAACCTCTCTCTTGATGGCAGCCGAGTGTCCTTATGATGGGACACGGGATAGGACAATATCCACCGATGGCACCCATAAAGTTTACTCTCAACGAAAAATGTCGATTTGTTTTAATGCCAACCGGAACTAAGCGGATGGAAAGTGGAAAGTGGGTTGCCGGGATGTTGGTCA